AGCAAACATGGCTTGAAATTGCAGCACTTGGATTCAGAGTTATGAGTTTCTTGTGCTAGGTGAAGATAGAGAGTATCTGGGCACAAGAAAAGCAGTCAGATGTTCTCCAGCCAGGGCAGCAAAATAGGCAACACCATACACTGTTTTATCTGTTGCTGATCTTCTGTCCCACCATTTATACTGGGGATGAAGGAAGTGGCTTCTCTTATAGAATCAGAGGCCTGGAAGGGACCTGAAGAGGTCATCTACTCCAGTTCCCTGTGCCTATTTTTTTAACTAAACCATCCCTAACAGATGTTTGTCTAAGCTGCTCTTAAAATCTCCAAAGGAGGAGATGCCACAATCTCCCGAGGTAATTTATTCCAATGCTTAACCACCCTGACAAGAGATTTTTCCTAACGTCCAACCTAAACCTCCCTTGCTGCAATTTCAGCCCATTGCTTCTAGTCCTCTCCTCAGAGGTTATGAAGTACAATTTTCTCCCTCCTTCATGTAACAACCTTTTAGGTACTTGAAAGCTGTGATCATGTCCCCCCTCAGTCTTTTTTCCAGACTAAACAAACCCAATTCTTTCAGTCTTCCCTCATAGATCGTCTTTTCTAGACGTTTCATTTTTGTGGCTCTTCTTTGAATGTTTTCCAACTTGTGCACATCTTTTTGGAAATGTGGTGCCCAGAACTGAACACCATACTCCAGCTGAGGCCTAATCAGTTCAGTGTAGAGAGGAAGAATTGATTCTCATGTATTACTTACAACGCTGCTGCTAGTAAGTCCCAGAATTATGTTCACTTTTTTTTGCAACAGTGTCACGCTGTTGACACATATTTACCCTGTGGTCCACTATGACCCTTAGATCCCTTTCTCAGCAACCATTTCCCATCGTGTGCCAAGGTACATGGTTGACTTAAGGGTTTTTTTGTGTTGAAGGTAGAAGAGGAAGTATTCATTATACACACTGGAATTCACTGAGTAGCTTCCGTCCAGACCTCCCCCCTCCCAGCCTCCATGCAAAGAATGGCATTTATAAGGAAGCATTTACCAAAGAGAAACTTGAATGATTCATAGCAGAATTAGCAAACCATTTGCTGTGAATCCACTTCCAGCTAACAACCTATTGGACATTACTTCTGACTGATCCCTTTTATGCGGTAAGGAGAGGATTTCAATTACTGTCTTAACTTTGTGATTGATTGGATATCCTAGTATCATTAGCATTAACAACGGTGCAGAATTTGAAACAGAGAGAATGACACTGCTACCTTTGGCGGTAGCTAGGAAATAGCTGAATACAGGATTCACACTGCGAACTATACACGTGAGGACAATGCAAATGCTATCACACTTTCTAATGAAATTCATCACCCCCTGCAGCAGCAGACACATACTGATTCCGGGATCATCTTGCGATGCTGCTAAGAAATAAAGTATAAGGGAATTAGGATCACATTTTCTAACAAGTTTCCTAATTTGTGCATGTAAAGCAGGGCTACTCAACACGCAGCCCGTGGGCCACATGCAGCCCACGATCTGTTTGTTTGTGGCCTGTGGTGCGGTTTGGGTTTATGGTGGCTCAACACGCGGCCCGTGGGTGGGAGCCAAAACAAAAAACTAGTCAATGTAATGGTCTTCTGTTGATATGTGTTTTAGTAGTTAAATTCCTGGACTGTCATTGCTCATTAAAAGTGCTGTCAGATGGGTGGAAATCGGGCAAATATTGCATTTTTATTAATATCAGCATACCTGACTTAAATGGGGGCCTGCGTGTTGTGTAGTTTTGCCTTAGTCTTTGTACTCATGCCCGTTAGTGTGAAAGCAGCTATTTGCGTATATTTGCATATTTATTTGCATGTGTATGCAACCACACTTAAGTTGCAGCCCTCAGCATGTGCTGTGTGTTTCACTGTGGCCTTCGGAGCTTCCGAAGTTGAATAGCCCTGATGTAAAGGGAGAGGAGTTCTTATGTATAGACTGATACACACACATATTTCAGGCTGGGGCTGTGTCCAGACTCCATGCCTCCGTCGACGGAGGCATGTAGATTAGCCAGATCGGAAAAGGGAAATGAAGCCGCGATTAAAATAATCGCGGCTTCATTTAAATTTAAATGGCTGGGGCCCGCCCC